GGTGGACGTTTTGGGAAGCTAATCAAAACCTGACTTCTGATTTCGTTGACTTGCCCTGAACTCGGAATCCTCAGCTCAACTCAACCGTATTTCGAGAGCACATGAAAACAGCCACCGCTGCTTACAAAGTGCTGTACATGGACTAAAATGCGGAAGAGCTGATCAATCAGCTGCTTCACACAAGAGAAGAGTGAATGAATTTACAGGGAGCACTGCAGGCCCCTCAACGCCACTTGCATCAGGAAGTCACCTCAAGATTTTCGCCGCTCATGCTTTTCGTCCAAATGGTCCTGGAGACGATGCCGGGACACGCCCATCTGCCGTATGATTGGCTAGTGCGTGCAGGTGAGGACACCCCCTACTTCCGCCAGGCGGGAAAACCTTTTTTTTTTTCTTTTAAAATGTCATATGTATTAAAATGGATTGAAAGGTGTTATACGACAAATGTATAAACAATTGAACAATGTCCATTTGCTGAATAAAAGTGCTGTTCAAATTTGACTCTTTCCAAGTCACGACGATCACCAGACTGTACTGGGAGGCTCTGAAGTCCTGATCCTAATTTGCCTTGGTGGTGGTTCAGGGACACCAACTGGTTAGCGGGTGTAGCAAGCAGTGCAGGGTCTTGAACCTGATTCCAAAGTACACCTTTTTTTTTCATGATTGCTCAATGATTGACCGACTGATTGGCTGACCTGGATGGATCTTCTTCTTTGGAGAAACTTCCTTTTAGCTCCACACTGTTCAGCTTGTCCTCTAGCAGGCCGTAACTCAGAGTCACCTGACACACACACACACACACACACACACACACACACACACACACACACACACAAGTACATGTACAGTATGTCCATGTTTGTTTTGTTCGTGATTTGGTGCAGTTCCACATGGCTCACCTAGAGGAGAGCACATACCTGGTGCGGGATGCTGGCGCGGCGAAGCAGCATGAGGTTCTCCAAGTGCGAGTGGAACAATGGGCAGTGGACCATGGAGACACCCACGCGGTCCTCCACAATGAAGCCCACCGTGCAATCGTCGGGCAGACGGATCTTCGCCGATGTCTCCTGGAAGCGAGAGCCACTGAATATGCGCAAATGCAGACACGGGTTTTATTGAAGGGTGGTTCCGGCAGAAGTGAGACGCCATGGAAGAGTCCACAAGTACCGGGCCCAGGGCGACATCTTGTGGGCCAGACGCCGACTCAAACAGAATCCAGCTCCTCCAGTGGCGAACCAGAACTTCACTTCTCTCTGCACACACCACACACACACACACACACACACACACACACACACACACACACACACTTTTTTTTAACTCTTTCAATGTCAATCAATAATGTACGGAGAAATAATTCCCAGTGTAACAATTTAAAATCTGACAAACTTTACAAACTATTTGCACACTCCTTAGTGGTAGTAGTATTTTGTAGTGTGTGAGCATGCATGCATGCCATGTGTGTATCATGCCACCGCTTCTACTTCTACACACAAATTATCGCTGTAATTCTTTCTCTTCTGTGATGCTCTTTGTAGTAGATTTGACATGACAAACAGTTTGATCAATCACAAGCTGCTTGTAACGGTCGCATTTCAAAAGATCCGCCATATACTTTCCCCCTTGTAAAAACTTGAGCGATTATCATTCGTTGTCATCTGATGCAATTACGAGTGAGTTACCGACAAGGAGCAAACCTGTTTGCTCTCAAGCTAAATTTTTCTTGAAGAATTCCCTGCAAAATGCAGACTTATTTCATGTTTGTTTATTATTACTATTATTGGAATTCATGACAATCATTTTTGAACTAAACGCAGAGAGAGATAACGTTTTTGAAAATGATTGTATTTGTTTTGGTTTAATTGCTTGAAATGTGAAAAAAAATCTAATTCTGACACTTTCACTCTTTTTCAAGAAATTTACATGAAAATTTTCCGTGATGCTAACTTTATAATTGCGATTCAAATGCCCATAAAAACGTGACTCATGTTACCGTTTGGTTTCCCTCCATGAGCTCGTGAGCTGTGATTGGTTTGTAAAGGCTGGCCTTGCCCACGTAGATGTCGCCGTCTTGCGGGAAGGCGGCGAGCGTGGCGACGAGAGCCTCGCCGTTCACGTAGTTGTCATCGTCCACATGACAAAACCACCTGAGGAGTGCGCACAAACAAATGTTTACAGCAGATGTAGAAACTCTCCACACCCCCGATGGGAAGGCAAGAAGATAACTGTCCAGGGAGGCCGCCCAAAGGCAGACAGCCACATGGAACGAGCTCGAGGAATTTCTGGCAAGCACTGGCTGTTTATTACAAGTGACGATAGGCTCCCATCGTTTTCTGTCAACCAAGTCAAGACTCGAGTGCACAATTGTGCGCGCTGCATTTAAAGGGAACAAAAGTAGCCACTTTGATTGGCCACGATTGAAGTTGGCTGCGACCACACCCATCGCGGTGCAGCTTTCCCGCTGGCTGTGCTCATCTGCAAGATGACCACAATTGGGTCC